CCCCGAGGAGACCGCCAGCAAGACCATCTCCACCGAGGAGACTGCCAACAAGACCATCTCCACCGAGGAGACCGCCAACAAGACCATCTCCACCAAGGAGACCGCCAGCAGCACCATCTCCACCGAGGAGACTGCCAAGAAGACCCTCTCCGCCAAGGAGACCGCCAGCAGCACCACCTCCACCAAGGAGACCATCAAGAAGACCATCTCCACCAAGGAGACCGCCAGCAGGACCACCTCTACCTAGGAGACGACCAAGAAGACCAGCCCAAGCAGACCACCAACAACACCATCTTTCCCCAGGAGACTGCCAACAGCACCATCTTTGCCAAGGAGACTGCCAAGGAGACCACCAAGGAGACCATGTCTGCCAAGGAGACAATGAAGGACGCCATCTCTTCCTAGGAGACCACCAAGGACACCATCTCCACCAAGGAGACCATCAAGAAGACCATCTCTCGCAAGGAGACCGCCAGCAGCACCACCTCCACCAGGGAGACCATCAAGAAGACCATCTCTCTCAAGGAGACCGCCAGCAGGACCACTTCTACCTAGGAGACCGCCAAGAAGACCATCTCCTCCAGGGAGACCACCAACAGCACCATCTCTCCCAAGGAGACCGCCAACAGCGCCATTTTTGCCCAGTCGACCTCCAAGAGGAATATCTTTTTCTAGGAGGCCACCTCGAAGCTTCTGGAGGTCACGTTTGGCTAATAAATGTTTAGCATCTGAAAAAAAAAAAAAAAGGAGAGGTCACTGTGAGCTCGGTGGAGCCAGCACAGGAGCGAGCTGTGTCAGCCTGGCTGGTCCTGCCCCTCCACTGCCCCCCCTGTTGCCCTCTTTATCCAGCAGGGGAGGTGGCACCAGGCACTGTAAAGGATCCAAAGTGCCATCTCCCACCTGCTCTAGAAATGCAAATATTCAGCATTGCCCCTGCTGCTGGCGGGGTTTGGGCCAGCTCCTGATTTTCTGAGCATAGGCAAGGGACAGAAAGAGCAGAAGGGCCCTCAAAAAAGAGACAGCTCCTGTCTCGTCCACGCACTTACCATCTGCATCTGCTTTGGCAGCGGAGGCCACGATTCCACGTCCTTGCGAAGGGGTCAGCAGGCTGCAGAGGAGGAGAAAACCCCACAGCGCAGACATCCTCGGTCCCGTTCCCTGCGGAGAGCGATTGCCATGAGTGCAAGGCGGGGAGAGCCAGCACAGGCCAGAGGGGGAGGAGAGAGGGGGATGGAGGAAAGGAAAAGGAGGAATGGCTGTTGGGCAAGAAAAGATCAGTGGGGAAGGAGGCCGCTGGCACCGCTCCCGCCTCCTCACCACGCTGGCGGGCACAGCAAAACTCCTGGTGGCACTTCCCTGCGGGAGGAACCAGAACTTCAGCAAGGGTTGCTCCAAAGA